GCAGGAGACTCGCTTGAGCCCAGGAGTTGGAGGTTGCTGTGAGCTATGATGCCACAGCACTCTACCCAGGGGGACAGCTTGAGGCTCTGTCTCAAGAAAAAAAAAGTCAGCTTTCTAAACTTAGGCCTTGGCTTGGAACTCATAGCTTAGTGGTTAGGGAGCCAGCCACATACACAGGGGCTGGCAGGTTCGAACCAGGGCTGGGCCTGCTAAAGTAACAATGGCAACTACAACAAAAAAATAGCAGGGCCTTGTGGTGGGTGCCTGTAGTCCCTGCTACTTAGGAGGCTGAGGCAGGAGAATCGCTTACGCCCAGGAGTTTGAGGTTGCTGTGAGCTATGATGCCATGATACTCTACCGAGGGCTAACATACTAAGACTTTGTCTCAAAAAATAAATTAATTAAATTAAATTAAAATTAAAATTAAAAAATAAACTTAGGCCTAGGCAAGCTCACTACATCACCCTGGCTGTAGTCTCTGATCTGGGCACTATGGAAACTCAGGCAGCTGTGCCAACTAGGCAGAGAGCTCCTGAGTGCGACCCCCACATACTCTGAGCCACATCTGCTGCTGCCCCTCCCAGCCGTGGGCAGAGTTGGGAGACCTCTGGAGACCAAATCAGCCATCTCTGCCTACCAAGTGAGGCAGACCACTGTTCTGGCGCTAGGGTGAACCCCAGCGCAGAAAATAACAATGCTATGGAAAATTAGAACTGAATACCTAATGAGAACAATAGTTAATATCAAAGGTATTTAGCATGTGTTAGGTGCTATGGACAAACACCCACATGTAGGATGTCATTGAAGCCTCCTCTGGGCCACAAGTAGGTGTACTGATTCTTACCAATCTACAGATGAGGAAATAGAGTCAGAAATGACAAGATCACTAGTTTGGAAGCAGTAAGTTGCCCAAATTCAGTCAGCCTGACTCCAGCTAACACAATACCTGGCTGGTGTGATGTCTACCATCAATTACCTCAGGGGCAATTAAGGAACCTGAAAGGGATTTGGCAGCTAGAGATTTGCTAGGGTAATTACAACATCCCCCTTTAATTAGCCCTCCCCCTCAACACTCCTGGCCACTGAGCACAGCTGAGCATCCCTCCCCACAGGCTCAGGGAAGAGCCTCTCCACCCCCAGCCATCCTATACCCAGAGCCATAGTCCCAGAGCATTGTGTGCGCCCAAAAGAAACCCAAAAGCCACTGGTGAGCTGGATCCCAAGGAAGGCTGTCTATCCCCTGTATAGGCCCGACTTCCCTCAAGTGAACAGAACAGGACCTTGGCCACTCAGCAGTCAGGTAAGGCCCAAGAACAGGCAGCTTCATGTTAGGCCAGGTATGAGGGCTAAGGGGACAATGTTAGGTTCTAGAAAGGTAAAGAAATTGGGCCAGGGCAGGGCCAGATCTTTCCCAATAAGCCCCAGGCTGAGGCTAGAGAACTGGGTGGACCAAGGCACTGAGAGGCTTCTCAGGCCTGGTGTCTATGATAAGAGGCTCAAGGTGGCTCTGGGCCAACTGGGACATGAGCCCAAGAAGCCACTGGAGGCCAGGGCCCTAGTCCTGGAAGAAGGCAACCCCAGCAAAAGCAAATAGCCTGTAAGACCACAACTTCTGCTGGGAATCTGCCTCCCCATAGCTCTTGTCCTCCCTACACCAAGTCTTTCTCTGAAATGAAAAGGCACACATCCAAAAGGCACATCTTAGGCAGTATGAACCCAATGCAAAGAAATGGGTATGCCTTTTTTGGAGGGGGTGGGGGGTGGGGACAGAATTTCACTTTATCGCCCTTGGTAGAGTGCCATAGCATCACAGCTCACAGCAACCTCCAACTCCTGGGCTTAGGTGATTCACTTATGCCTCCTAAGTAGCTGGGACTACAGATGCCACCACAACACCTGGCTGTTTTTTGTTGCAGTTTGACCGGGGCTGGGATTGAACCCGCCACCCTCAGTATATGGGACTGGCACCCTACCTACTGGGTCACAGGCACCACTCCAAAATGTGTGTGCCTTTTGACTCAGCGTTTCTATTTCTGAAAATGAATCCTTAGGAAACATATCTAGGTGCAGGGATGTTCAGGGCAGCAATGTTTAGAGATACAACCTAAAGTCTCAGGTCAGGGGGTTATTTCAATAAACGAGGGCACGCTACACTGAGGCAGTCATTTACACTGTAGGGAAGAGGCACTCGAGACTTCCCGGGGTGTGCGCTGTCAATCAGGCTGCCCCAGATATTTGATGTGGGGGAAAACTGTAGCAGAGGTCAGCTTTCCTGTTAATGTTATACACGTCTCTATTAGAGACCTCTCCAGTGAGCAAGTTTACTTCTTTTGTAATCTTTTTTAATTTCAGTGGTTGTAGAAAAATACCAGTTAGCAAAAATGCAGGCTATAAAACAACACAGTTCCTTTAATCCCAATTCTATAACTATCCATCTATTCACAGATTTAAAATATTAGAAATAACAAGACACCAGGGCAGCGCCTGTGGCTCAGTGGGTAAAGCGTCGGCCCCATATACTGAGGGTAGTGGGTTTAAACCCAGCCCCAGCCAAAGTGCAACAAAAAAATAGCTGGGTGTTGGGAGGCGCCTATGGCTCAAGGAGTAGGGCTCCAGCCCCATCT